CCTCCCTCCTCCGGGCCCTTTCTGGAAGTTCGGCTGCCTTGAGCTCCCAGGGGTCAGGACTGCTCTCTTCCCCTGCTCTTTTCCCCAGTTGGGGCTGGAGGCCCGGGGTGGGGCTTCCCTGGGAGCTGGAAATAAAATGGGGTGAGGGCTGGGCTGAGCGGGCCAGTTTTGTAAGGAGGTTAGGAGGCTGTGAGGGGAGGTAAGGAGCTTGTCGTTTGGGTTTGGGTTTTGTTCTGTTTGGCTCCCGGAGAGCAGGGGAGGTGGGACTCGGTGGAGCTTTGCTGCAGACAGGGACTGAGGAGTGAGGCCTAACTGAGCAAGACTTGCCCAGTGCCGAATGGGGAGAGGGATTAGCCTGCTGGCCTGGGAGCCCCAAGTTGGCAGGCAAGCGTGGTTCCACCCAAAAGGCAAGGGGCTTATTTTCGCCAGCTACTTGTTCTGTGCCAGGCCCAGGCTGGACAGAGCATCCCCGGGGGAAGCCCTGAAGTTGGGTTCTAAGGCAGAAACAGATACTGCGCTCACCTGACTGACGTCAGAGAGCCAGCATGGAGCGGAGAGGCCACACGCCTTCTAACAAGGCTTTCCAAGGAGGAGAGCTGAGCGTGGCGCCGTGGCTGCCCGGGGCCAGAGGACGAGGACGGGAGCCGGTGAGGGACGGGCGCTGCGGAGGCCGGGAGGGGAGCAAGCGCTGGAGCTGGGAGGGAAAGGGGGCAGGTGAGCCCAGGGCGCCCCGCCAGGCCCACGGGCCACAGGTGCCCGCAGCCACCGCCACAGTGGCCCCTCACATGTGAACCACTCAACAGCGAGAACGACCTGTCCGCGGGTGGACCAGCCCCTCTCGAGTGCCCACGCCACACGGTGTGGGAGACCGTACAGGCCATTCCGAGGAAGCCCCAGGAGGGGTAGGAATTGCCCAACCACCCCAGGAGAGAGCGGGGAGAGGCCAGTGCCTGGCCGCCAGGGCCCGGCCTGCAGTCTCACCCGAGTGAGGGACGGCTCGGGCAGGATGAGGCGTGACTCACCTCCTGCCAGCAGAGACGCGGACTCTGCCCCCAGGGATGGGCACTGACCAAGCGGGACTTGGTGGCCCTGACTCGTGATCCTAGATCAGTGTGACCGGAGCCGCCGTCCGAGAAACATGAAGTGCGTGGCGCCGGGGGGGATGGGCCGAGCGGCGGCCTGGGCGCTGCAGGGTCTCCGGCTTGGTCCTAGCTGGCCAGCGGGCAGAAGGGCCAGGAGGGCGGGTGCGAGCTGGGAGGGGCCGGGAGACTTGCTGGGCATCGCACCGAGGAGAGGGGGCCCCACCCTCCCACCCTAAGGAGCCGGTTTTGCGTGCTCCCCAGGTCCCAGGCGATCGAGCTGGTGAGGATGGACTACGCCATGAAGTCCCTGAGCCTCCTGTACCCCAAGTCCCTCTCCAGGTGAGGAAAGGCAACAGGTAGGGGGGTGACCTGGAGGTCATAGCGGGGAGGTCCCAGCCACTGAGGGCACCTAAGTCACCCCAACATCCTGTTAACATGCAGATGCTGCCTCAGGGGGGCAGGGGTGGGACTGAGAATTTCCTGCCCCGAGGCTTCCCGCCCACATCACCGCTGCCCCAAGCCCCACTTTGAATAGAAAGAGGTAGAATCTGTGCTTAGTGCTCTGGTGCTTGATCACATTTAAACCCCCCAAGTCTCAGAAGTGGGGATTCTCACACCACATTGATAGATGGGGACACTGCGGCCAGAGGGGGGCCCCCCATCACCTAGCAGGTGTAGTCCAGACTCAAACCCTGTCTGCCTGATTCCAGCTCAGGGGCCCGCCACTCCCTGGCTCCGCACTGATTCTACCAGACATCAGAAAACAGCCTCGTGCTCACGCCAGGGAAGTGGAGTGGGGGTGCGGGCACCTCTCCCCTCCCTGCTCCCCTCGGTCTGAGAGCCAGCAGCGGCACACGGGACTTGCTATAGGCGCAGTGTCTCATCGCCCAAGCACCCAGAGCCAGAGAATCAGATCCGAACAAGCGCCCCGAGGCCCGATAGCCCCGAGGTTGCATGGGGAGGCGCGGG